CGGCCGTCTTGAACAAGGCAACTCTGCTACCTCCCGGTGACAGCGCGTTCGGCTATCTAACGGTCGCGGCGATGTGCAGCTCGACTTGGACGTGTTGATTGACGTGAGTGGAGAGAAGAGAAAGCGCGGCTGAGGTTGGTCTTGACGGTAATTTCGGTAAAGGCTGTGGCTTGGGAAAGGAGGCAGATGCACATCATCGACATGGGCTCGGCATAAACCAGCCCGCCAAAGCAATGACTCTGGTCTGCTAGATGCGATGCTAGGTTAACGACGTGCTATCCACATGGTCGTCAAATTGCACCCAACTACAGTGAGCCAGGCTGTCCCGGCGCCAGCTCCAACATGACGGTCCCAACTGACGCCCTCACGCAGGCGCTGTCCTCGCTCTCGCAACGCGCCTATCTTGGATGCCTCTTCTCGAATAGGAGTAGCAGGCATGGGTCGCTGTTTCATACAGCACCGACCCGGCACGCGTAAATTGCCTGTTATGCGCTCGCCCGCCATGTGCTCAGGTGCTTCAACTTGGGCAGGTCCTCGATATAGATCTGTCGGGCTCCTTGAATGTCGCTTCATCTCACGCACATGCATGATCCATTCTGATCATCCCGTGTCTTTCACCCACTCACCCGCACCATCAGTCTGATCACTATGTCTCACGCGTGGCCGGCCGGCCGCCGTAGCGACGCGTCCAGCAAAAGCAACATGGTAAACATCAACAACAATCTTGAAACTCAAATCCGCTTTGGCGCTGACGGTTATGACGCGCCCCTGCCTCCATCTGACATGCACAGCAAGGACATCCACGCATGTAGCAACAAAGGTACAAGTTCGCGACCACACGGTACGGAGAACCGCTGTCACAGTCTCAGCCGCCCACGCTGGAAGGAAGGCGTGCCCTGCATGTCTCTGCATTCCTCGGCAGCACGTCCAATCGAAAGTCGCTGTCACAACTGCACCTCGCCCGTTTCCGGTCTTAGGATGCATTGCCTACTGTACCTCTCAGGGTGAGGCTAGATAGACTTTTCCACAAACCCAACTTGCGCCGTCTGCTCTGTACAATTTTCCCCATCGAGCCAGCGTTAGGCCAGTCTTCGGAGATTACACGTTGGTGCCTCGATCGCCCTTGCCGTGCGACCAGCGGACCCACCTTCCCGCTAGCACCGTTACTCGACTCTTGCGCCATCTCCAGATGCTCTCGCTGGCCCTCGCGCTGGCAATACGAGCCCCCACTGCCCGACCTTGACGTCACATTGTGGAAATGCTCGCGAAAAGCTTCATCTCCTTTCCACCGCCCTACGGCCCATCTTGCGGAGCATTTCTCCAGATTGCAACGGTCGGCTCCCGGTAGCATGGATCCGCTGTTCGCGTTGGGCATAACCAGATCTTCTTACATCGCTTTGTGTTTGATCACATTTCGTTGTAAGCTCTCGATTGTAACCTTCCAAGTCATTATCCGCTTGAGCTATATGTCAAGATAATGTTGAGAAACTGCCGCTTCCAAGTCTGTCAGTGAGGGAGGTTGTGATGCGGAAGCGACGGAAGTGACAGGATACGATGTGGTTGGAAAGCGACAAACGAACAAACGAATGTCACTAGAATCACGTTGGACGGGAAGGCGACGGACCAGAAACATACTTCCAGATCACTAGCACCAAAGTCTTGAAACCTCTGATGACATCTCTTCATTAAAACTTTATTAAGCGGGCAATCCACTAAGAGTATCCATATATAGCCAGATCTCATCAGATTTTGATCTCGTTCGGGAGACCAACCTCTAGGATGTCAACACCATTTTGCAGTTCACTCTTGCCAGGCATCTTGTTCCTGCGCATAAGCTCTGCTGCTTGGGTCATGTATGGATCTTTCATCATACTCGCTACGGCAACAACAGTCTCGCCCTTGGTGTAGTATGCGACAAATGACGGCTTCTCCGGCTCGCCTTGCAGAACCACGTCGTCGTAGCCGTTGACCGTGTTGCCGCAGTATCGCAGCTGCGAACCCAATGCAGACCAGAAGACAGGGATAAAGGGCTTGGCTTTGGATCCGGGAGTGTTGATGGTATTGGCCACTGAGCGGCCGGCGTTTTGTGCGACGTTCCAGTGTTCTATCCGGACTGGTGTGCCGTCGCCTCCCGGACCATGGTAGGGGTATGTTGCGATGTCACCAATAGCATAGACATCCTTCAGACCGTTGACTTCAAAAGACTCGTTCGTCTTCAAAGATCCATCTTTCTCAAGCGTAACACTTGAGTTATCCTTGAGGTACTCAGTCGCAGGAGCAACACCAACACCTTCAATAACGAGATCGGCCTCAAGTGTGGTTCCATCCTTGAGATGAACGGCACCAACCTTGGAAGAATCGCTCTTTGACGGTGTGGCCTTCTCAACGCTGGCGCCCATCTTGAACTTGACGCCGTTCTTCTCGAGAAGACCGCGGAAGATTGCGCCGACCTTCTTGCCCATTACGCGCTCCATTGGTTCTGCAGCCTGATCAGTTTGGACACAAATTAAGAGGAACGCGCGACTTACCCTCCTCCATACCAATGATGGTGACATCGTTCTTCATGCCGGCGAGGCAGTTTCCAACCTCCATGCCGATGAACGAGCTACCAACCACCACGACCTTCTTGCCGTTTTCACCAACAGCCTTGAGGATGTTCTGTGCGTCGGGTAGGGTGCGAAGGAGGAAGACATTGCCCAGATCACCCTTCAAACCGTCGAGTGGCAACCATCTTGGTGTACCACCAGTGGCCAACACCAGCTTGGAGTATTCGTAGTCCTTTCCGGACTTGGTTGAGACCTTCTTGCTTGAGAAGTCTACGCTCTTAGCCTCGTCTTCAATGATGTCAATCGACGCATCTTTGTAGAATTCCTTCGATCTCCATGCCGCCTTTGAGATGTCGGCCAACAGTGCCTTTGATAGCTTGGTTCGGTCGATAGGCTGGTAGCCTTCTTTAGAGATAACGGTGATCTTGCCATTGTACCCACCGCCTCGGAGACCTTCAATAGCACCAAGGGTGCCCGAACCACCTCCAATGACCAGCACCTTGTCCTCACTCACAGACGAGCACTTTATGTTCAAAAACTTCCTGTTGTTCTTCAATGCTTCCTCTGTGGTCTTGACGTATACGGCCCCGTCCTTTTCGATTACTTCGTATTTCGCAATGGGATCGAGCGCGGGTGCGTCTTCAACATCTCCGGTCGAGACCTTGAAGCAGGCTGCAAAAGTTAGTTTCAGCGGCACAGCGTGCACAAAATTGAAATTTACCTCCGTGCCATGGGCATGTCAAACGACCCTCTGGTGTTAATACACCCTTGACCAAAGGAGCTCCGTAATGTGTGCAGGTTGAACTTGTGGCATGAACTTGATCCTGTACCTTCAAAAGAAGGACCTTTCCTCCCTCAACGCCCTCGACTTCAACCTCTTTCTTCTCTCCATTCTTCATTTGTAAGGAAGTGACATCCTTGAGCTTGAACTCTTGAGCCATAACTGCGGTTGTTGATGTAAATGGGGCTCTTTGTAGGGGACTAGTTGGACTGAATTGAAGCTTGAGTGAGGTTCGTAAAGGTCGAAGAATTCGTAGTGACTGCATTAATGTGTGCAAAGAGAGGTGAGAAGTGAAGAAGCTGTCTATGATCGCGACAGCTGCCAGTTAGCCAATAATGAGGGGTGCATTACTGACATTTGATGATGTCACGATTGGACGTGCAGGAGCTCCAGCTGTTGTAGCGCCGATCTCCACCCCACTTCAGTCGGCATCACTACATTATCCACCGCGAGCACGGCATATTTCGCTGGCATCCGGGATGTATGAACGTCTGGGTAATCAAGTCAATATAATCACCGCGTTGCTACACTATTAAGGACTCGCAATCATCGACAGAAGCAGCATGAGCTTAGCTTGTTATCGATCCGGCAGCCGATGAGAGTAGGTCGCAAAGCATGAGCAACTACCTGAGTGAGCTTACCGTCCGTGCGAGTTCTTCAATCTCAGCAAGGCGAGCGGTGTTGTGACGGTCATGGACTTTGGCTCGTCAACCTCGGCTTGCAGAGTAGCTGTGGAGCTCAGAATGCATCGCTATGTGAGCAGTTGGCATGGTGATCATCATAGGACAGGAAGCTTAACTCATTGCAGCATTCTCCTGTGGAAATATGCCTCAATAAGAGTAGTTCGAAGGCAAAGGCCGAGGAATGGAAAAGTCTTGCATCAAATAAGCGAAATGATATGTAAGAAGCAATTGAGGCCACGAGACAAGGCTGCGATGTTCTCCGTGGCTGTATCGCTGCTGATGACTCCAGTCCAGGGACCGAACACTTCTTTTGCAACATAAAAACTTTGTCCTCCAATTTCACGGGAGCAACAACTTCTCAGTGCCTTGTAAGCTCATGACGCGGAAAGCAGGGAAACAAGGGAAAGAAGGGTCTCGTGGGTGGTACACGCTCTTCCGCGTGCCCGCCACCTACCAAACATCACCTAAGCACAGGCGAGGCTGGCAGATCGTAAAGCAAACATACGCAGACACTGGAATTTGCCAACGTTTACGTGCTAGCTTCTTACCCCGCGGCTCCTAGTCAGTACCAAACAGTAGTTCGACAGCAAAGTAATATACTGCATTAGCCCTGAACCTATCTTCATGCTTTTCAAGCCGCACCCCGCCACCCGACTCTCTTCACCACCAGTCACCATCTGCCATTGCCGAGAACACCACCACATAACCACATCAGACAGTAAAGCAAACAAACAACTCTGAATCAAGAATGTGACACCATTCTTGTCTTTGATCTGTTTTTATGCACTGCATCGTCGATTGAGTTGAAAAGTCATTGCGGACCCCGCTGGTGGAAGGTCGAATCCAAGGCATTGGGCTCAATTCTCTACCAACTTGTAGACAGTCCCTTCAGCACCAACTTGACGGCGACCGAAGCGCACGTTGGAGGTAGCGCACCAGCCAGGCCAAAGTAACTCGACGTTACTTCGGTACCGACGGCCGGCTGTTATCATGGCTCGTTAGTGGCACAGATACTCACGAGACTGAGTGCTGACCAGCACAGACACAACCTTCCCTTTGAACTTACCCATCCCCCAGGACGACGGAGCGTGCTCGCATCTGAAAGGGTCACAGATACCATCGGTATGCTTGGCGTCGACTGCCGGCGACCAGCTAGATGTTGCAACCTGTTCAGGCCTGACTATCCTCTTCTGCTATCCGCGTACTGGCGCACCTGGTGAAACAATCACAGAAGATTGGAACTCCATACCAGGAGCACGAGGCTGTACACCTCAGGCGTGCAGCTTCCGCGATGAGATGGCCCAACTGCGCGACCTCGGCGTAAAGCATGTATTTGGATTGTCGATTCAGGACACTGCATACCAGAAAGAGGCCAAGGACCGGCTGCATCTACCCTACGAACTGCTTTCGGACGAGAAGCTACAATTTGCTAATGCCCTCAAGTTACCCACCTTCACCTGGAAGAACCAGACACTGATTAAGAGATGTGCGTTGGCTGTCAAAGATGGAATCATCATCAAAATCTGGTACCCTGTCTTCCCTCCCGGTAGTAACGCAAAAGACGTAGTGGAGTGGCTCGCAGGCAGAAAATAGTATATGCAGGTACCATTTCCGTGCCCCTGAAACGAGTTGGTACCACATTTGGAGGCGCACCCGCGAACTTCATGACTCGGGACCTACGGTGCTTTTACGGCTGCCGCATTCGGCAATGCTGGTCAAAAGGGGAAATAGAGATAGGTGTTGTACTGTAGTGAGTACTGCGTGTCTGAATACCCTCAATTCATGCGAAAATGTAGTCTACCATCATGAGATGCCTTTATTGTCTCCCTGTTTACTGTCATCTGTCTCGGCAAAAGCAATATTTTGGGGACAAGGTTTGACGGCTGCGACGTTGGGTTGCGCACTAAGGATCGTCAAACCTCCAACCGAACGTGGATCGACCGCGCCGTGCGCGCATGGTCAATAAACTTTAGCTCTTCTACCGGACCCTACAAGATATGGTCTAACCCTCGCCGCCCTGCATGGCGATGCTGTGTCGCAAGGACTCTGTCGATCGTGGATCTTCGTGACTTCGTGAACACTTACTCTTCACTCACACACACACTACATTCGTTCTACATGCTTTCTTTTCGGAGATCCTCGAGTACCACTTAAAGAAGCCTTGCGCATCTTGACGAAGTGGCTGAGGCATCGGCGCGGCGTCGTCCATTCCTTCCTTAACAGTATATCCAGCTCCGACACTATCTTTAATAATAATGTCTACCACACTCATTACTAGCCGTCGACAAGGAGAAATCACTACTTCTACTTCATCGCGAAGAACGCCCGCCACATCCACTTCGTCGCAACGAGCGTCCACAACTTCTACCACACAGCGAAAGCCATCCGCAACTCCCACCTCCTTACGTGTAGCTTCGTCGTCACCAACCGCACTACCTACCAACTTAGCATCAGACTTCTCTTTTGTTCAACTTGAGACCAATCCTGTCCCCAGCGCAACCAACTCAATCGATCAGCCAAGTCTTGTCGACACAAGTGTTGGGGCCAGCGAAACATGCTCTACAGATAGCAACTGCACAAAGGACCAAACGTGTTCGAGCTCAAGATGCGTTGCTATGAACGGTGCTGCACCGCTTGGCGGATCGGGTCCAGAGCCAACTTCGCAACTGACACCAGGCTCAGCTATCGGTATCGGCGTAGGAGTTGTGGGATTGGTCGTACTGATGGTAGCGCTTGGTTACTGGTTCTGGAGGATTCGAGCAAGACGGCCACGGCCTCAAACCATTGAAGAGTCCTCAAATGATCTTCGAAGGTGTGCGACGAATGCAACAGATCAAAGAACACTGGTAGCCTCATTACCAAACAGCCCCCAGAACGCAGCCTTCAGTCAACAACAAACCATGGCCCCGGAGCTTTTCGCCAGAGCTCTTGCATTTCACGACACAAAGGAGAAAGCGGGCAGCAAGAGATCGGATTCATTGGATAAGAAGTCGCGGATCTCAACGGAGAAAGCACTGCCACCTCGCCCGACACCTCATCCGCTGATGTCAAATCCTCTTCCACCTCCGCCCACGGAACCGAAGCGATATGCCGTCAACGTCAACATCAACAAGAGCATGATTTTCGACGATGAGATGATCAACGCTGTCAGTTCACTTCGAGGTAACGATACTCCCCGCAGTAGTGGTACGCCTCGTGATCGTAAGCCGCAATATAAGTTCGAGGAATACATCCCTCCTACCGCGAAACCTCCGCCAGTCATCATCTCGCAGCCAACGCCGACCACGGAGAAGCGAAACTCCGAGTATGAATTGAGCCAGTTTCCGAACCGGAGGAACTCTGCGGATACCGTCTCGGTAGCCGACGACAACAGCTCAAAGGGGGGTGATTCAGAACCCCCATCTCCCATTGTCGAGACTCTTTCTAGACTGGAGAGCAAGGCCCCGCAACTACCATTGCCTGACCTGCCGCCTCCAAGTCCAAGCTTCAGTTTCCGTTCCTATGACTGGTACCAAGACATCATAGGCGATCAGCCAAATGGCGAGCCGGCGACGCCAACGCTGCCTTCGCGTAACCCTGCACGTACACCAACACAATCCACATTCCCTAAACCACTATCTCTTTCTCCAAAGAAGACCAAGCCCGCCGACCTGGCCAATCTGGACTCGAGTCTTATTCCAGCACCACTTTCACCTGCTGCACCTCCTGCTGCTTCAGGTTTGCTTTTGCACCCAAGCTCAGCGGCCTTACCCAGTCCCACGAGCCCCAATTTTCGTTTATCACCAACTGTTTATACACCGCCGTCGCGACAATCACCACCTATACCACCAACAGCACCGCTTCGAAGCTCGGCACGGGCCTCTACACAGAGCACCATGACCCGTGCTACGCACGATTCCCGAAGCTGGCTACCAGATGATGGACTCTATCTTGCTGAAGAGGGCGACGAGTATGCCGAATACAAAACTTACCATCGGCCCAGCGAGGACAGCAGACCGACAAGCTACTCGCCTTTAACTTGAGCTATACAAGCCACCTAATCTTAGAAGACGAAGAGCCGACCATCATTTCAAATACAGAGCCATGGGCGGTCGCTCACCTTTTGTACTTTTATTCATGCAGGCCGTGTGCTGCAGGACATTACTTTCATTAAATTTTGCTCGGGGCGAGGCCCTGAGGAAGGATCGCAGTGCGCGCGATGTTGTACCACGCCGACCCTTCCGCTTCCGGTCCCGACTTTGGACCAACGAGGGCGTGCACGACCAAGGTGGTACTCCGACGCACGGGAAGAGCGCGGGAACGCGCTAGGACTACACGCGAGGCCGCGAAATCGCGCATGCGGCAGCTCATGATGGCATTACGAGCAGAGGTGGATATACCATACTACGTATTATAACTGCAGAGCGGATGCAATGTCGCAGAGACACTGAGCATTCTTGTACTTTAATACCCTAACGTAATGTAAAACAACCAAATCAAAACAAATACGATGAAAGCAACGCATCATTCTGCTTGGTAGCTGTGCCATTCAAGCTTTCTCCGTGACCGTGCCGTGCTTGTGGGGAGATCCGCAAATCTACCCCACTGTCTTGACATGCGGCTACAAAACGTTGAGCCCGCTATGTCGTGACACGCGGAGATGTAGCTAGTCCGAGAGACATTCCGCGATGCGTCCATTGAGTATTGTAACTGTTCTAGTCGGTGGAGCAAGACCCAGGTGACATGCAGCCGGGACCAAGATGTGAAAGAGAACTCTGACCTGTGGCGCCTACTGCATGCGTGTGTCTACTCGTTGAAGCAAACGCGATGGGTTCCTTGAAGACATGTTCGTGTTACCTACGATTGACAAAGACAAGGAATTCCATATTACCTACATTGCCACTCTAATCTCTAATCTCGAGCATGTTTCAATGGATCTTGTTCCCTCAGCTCGCCGTCATGGTGTTTATCGCATGGCGCATGCAAGATCTCAAGAACCAAGTAAGTCGCTTCTTATACGCACTACGGGCTACCACAAGCTTCAAGCCCTGAAGCTTCGAATCTGGAAGTGCACCTTCGTCTTCACCATCCCCACATGTCGGTGCGAACTACATGAGCCCGCATGTTCCTATTCGCTCAATGTCGGCACGATTCCCCATGATCATCCCCCGCACGACTCTCGCTTATGCATGGTGCATGAATACGCCCAGCCTTCTTGCTAGCTGCCCTTCCTGCTGTTCAGCGTCATCGAGGGCTACTTCGCTGCGGGGAATCGCACAACCGACCATCAACGAAAATGGCGCCAAATGCAGGTGCCGCTGACAGCACCGCAGAAAGCTATAAAAGGTCCAAGTCGCAATGGATGCCCGGGGATGTCCAGGCAGCACTCGACTGGTTCAGCACAGCCATCATGTCGCGCTCAAGCTTTCTTCAAGCTTCAACGCTACTCTCCTCTTTTCTAGCGTTAACATCTGGCCAGACACCTATCAGTTCGTCTGACAGCGGTTGGAGCACCACACTCGCTGGAACCCCTACCTCGTTTCGCTCCGTCTTCACTCTCCCTGCCTCGGCTGATCAGGGCGTTGACCAGATCCCTAACATCTACGATCCGGAAGCTGTCAACGCGCAGGATGTCTGCCCAGGATACAAGGCATCCGGTCTCGAACAGGGTGATCGCGGGCTGAGCGCCACCTTGACACTGGCTGGAGCTGCTTGCAACGTCTACGGCACAGATATTGAAGAGCTAGACCTGAAGGTTGAGTACCAATCTAAGGGAAGGCTGGCTGTCAGTATTGTACCAAAGCATCTTGACGCTAGCAATCAATCCCAATGGATTGTACCCGAGGATCTTATTCCACGGCCGCAAGCCGAAGACTCCTCTGAGGGCACAGACCTCAAGTTTGACTGTAAGTGAACAATCTGAAGCCCTGAGTGTCTTAGCACGTTTTCGCCTGGATAACGAGAGAGCTTGACTAACACATATGCAAGGGGGTAACGAACCATCTTTCTGGTTCAATGTTGGCCGTCGCTCTACTGGAGACATCATCTTCACTACTCAGGGTACAAAACTCATTTATGAGAACCAGTTTATCGAGTTCGTGAACAGCCTACCTGAGGACTACAACCTCTACGGTCTAGGAGAACGTATCCATGGCCTTCGCCTGAACAACAACTTCACCGCAACCATCTATGCTGCTGATGTGGGTGACCCAATCGACCGCAATTTGTATGGTAGCCATCCCTTCTACCTAGAAACCCGCTACTTCGAGAAGGGCGGGAATGGCAGCAAGACCCCCTTGAAGCAGTCTGAGCTTCAGCAGCCCAGCCTTGGCTATGACAGCAAACCCACCGGTTCGGCGTATGAGTCGCGCTCTCATGGTGTTTACTACCGCAACACGCACGGCATGGATGTCGTTATGAAGCCTGACCATCTTTCATGGAGAACATTGGGAGGTGCAATTGATCTGTTCTTCTTCGATGGACCTTCCCAACCAGAAGTGACCAAGGAGTACCAGAAGTCAGCGATTGGACTGCCTGCCATGCAACAATACTGGACATTAGGTTTCCATCAATGCCGATGGGGATATCGTAACTGGACGGAGACGAGAGAAATCGTTGAGACTATGAAGGCCTTTAATATCCCTATGGGTAAGTTCGTCCTTACTTGACGTAATACATGTGTTTCCTTACTGACTATGAGCAGAAACGATTTGGCTTGACATTGACTACATGGACCAGTACCGAGATTTTACGCTTGATCCCGTGTCATTCCCTCCCTCTGGTGTCAAAGAATTCTTTGACTTCCTTCATGGAAACAACCAGCACTTCGTACCCATTGTGGACGCTGCTATCTATATTCCAAACCCATTGAACGCCAGTGATGCTTACGACACCTACGCTCGCGGAAACGATTCCGATGTGTTCCTGAGGAATCCCGATGGTAGTCAATACATTGGCGCTGTATGGCCTGGATACACTGTCTTCCCAGACTGGCTGTCTTCCAACGGTGTAGCGTGGTGGGTCAAGGAGATGGTTGAATGGTACAAGGAAGTGCCATTTAGCGGTTTCTGGGTGGACATGACTGAAGTCTCCTCATTCTGCGTCGGCTCCTGCGGTTCCGGAAATGTTACCTTGAACCCTGCTCATCCACCCTTCTCTCTCCCTGGCGAGGTTGGCAACGTCGTTTTCGATTATCCAGAAGGCTTCAACATCACCAATGCAACTGAGGCCGCTTCGGCTTCAGCTGGCGCATCAAGCCAGGCCGCACCAACAGCACCTACGGAGACGGCTGCTACAACTACCAGCTACTTCCGATCAACGCCTACACCTGGTGTGCGCAACGTCAACTACCCTCCATACGTCATCAACCATGTCCAAGCCGGAGCTGATCTTGCTGTCCACGCGGTCAGTCCCAATGCAACACATCAGAATGGCGTTGAAGAGTACGATGTCCACAACCTTTTCGGTCACCAGATCATCAACGCCACCTACCAGGGTCTTCTTCAAGTCTTCCCTGGCAAGCGGCCCTTCATCATCGGACGTTCTACCTTTGCTGGTAGCGGCAAGTGGGCCGGCCACTGGGGTGGTGATAATGCATCAAAGTGGGCTTATATGTTCTTTTCAATTCCCCAAGCTTTGTCATTCTCGCTTTTCGGTATCCCCATGTTCGGTGTCGACACCTGCGGATTCAACGGCAACACCGACATGGAGCTTTGCGCTCGCTGGATGCAACTTTCTGCTTTCTTCCCCTTTTACCGCAACCACAACGTGCTCTCTGCCATTCCCCAGGAACCCTACCGCTGGGAGGCAGTGGCTTCTGCATCCAGGACCGCTATGCACATCCGATACTCCTTACTGCCCTACATGTACACCCTCTTCAATGACGCCCACACTACTGGCTCTACTGTCATGCGTGCGCTAGCGTGGGAGTTCCCCAATGAGCCTCAGCTCGCAGGTGTTGACACACAGTTCATGCTGGGTCCTAACATCCTGATCACTCCTGTCCTTGAGCCTCAGGTCGACACCGTCAATGGAGTATTCCCTGGTATCGTCGACGGCGAAAGCTGGTTTGACTGGTACTCTGGCGAACGCGTCGAGGCGGAGGCTGGCGTCAACACCACCATCTCTGCTCCTTTGGGTCATATCCCTGTGTACGTTCGCGGTGGCTCAGTCCTTCCGATCCAAGAACCCGGTTACACAACGACCGAGTCCCGCAACAACCCATGGGGTCTCATCGTTGCGCTCTCAACAGATGGCACTGCTTCTGGTAACTTGTATGTTGATGACGGCGAGTCTCTAGAGCCAGAGTCGTGCCTGGACGTTACGTTTGCTGCTATGACTGGACAGCTGAAGGTCAATGTTGAGGGCGAGTTCAAGGACACGAACGCGCTTGCTAATGTGACCATTCTGGGTGCTCCAGCAGTTGGACAGGTCAAGTTGAACGGCGAGACAATCGATGCAAGCAAGGTGAGTTACAACTCTACTAGCAGCGTCCTAAAGCTGTCAGGCTTGAACGACTTGACTAGTGGGGGAGCTTGGCAGGGAAGCTGGACCCTAAGCTGGGAATAAGGAGTAACATTTTCAACGGTACTCAGTGGGTCATGACTTAAGTATCGTCGACCATGGTAAATAATGACCGTTCCGCTCGATTAGCGAGCTAATCCTAGTCATGAATTCACTACGTTTGAAATCTAAAACCTGACCTTCATGCTTGACAAATTAACATTTCCTCGGAGCGCGTTGTCCTGCCAGTCTTCCAGGTTTTAAGACGAGCGGAGTCGTTCACGAATGACGTCATAACGGGAACTTGCACCTCCAAGGATACGACAAAGGCCCCCAAAGGAAACCCTGCGTACCACCATGGTGTTCTCTCACACACGAAGAAAGTTCGCTTGGAACTTCCTGATCGACCTAACATACCTGAACGATTGAAGAAGCAACTACACCATGCCGCCTAAGAAGCTAAACCAGCAAGAACCCTCCGCCGTCCCTGATATCGACGAGCTCAAAAGCATAGCCGCGAAATCAGATTCGCCAGAAGACAAACTCAAAGAGGCTGCCGCAAGTGCTGAATCTGCTCTCGCCTCGGCCAAGACGGCTTCATCGCTGCGTTCCGCCGCCGAGACGATCAAGGACCCAAAGAAACGGGAGAAATACCTACAAGATGCGTACAACAAGGAAATTGAGGCGCACGGAAACTCTAAAAAGGCGCGTGTACTGAGCTCAGGCGCGTTCCAAGGCAGTGTAGGGGGTGGTGGTATCGGTATGGCTGTTGGCGCTGGACTGGGTACTGTGGTGGGTACGCTGGTCGGTACTGTGGCCACAATACCCACGACGGCTGTTGGAACGTTGGTTGGTGCGGGCGTGGGTGGTGTGCATGGGCCGTGGGTCAAGCTTGGTGGAGGGAAGAAAGACGACAAAGATAAGAACAAGGATGGACAGGCAGAAGGCGACGGCAGTGGTAATGCGGATGAAAAGGATGTCGATGGACAGATTCAAGATCAGATGGGTGGGGAAGAAGATGGTATACCGGATCCTGAGGCACTAAGACGGGCGGCAGATGAGTTTGCGCAACAGCGGAAAGCTGAACAAGGAGAGAACGATGGCGGAGATGGGGAAAACAAGGAGAAGAAGAAACCGAGGAAGATTGAGGTACGAAGTAAATAAGCTGCATAGGGGACTGCAATAGGCGAACTGGGGACATTTCTTCTCATCATTTTGCTTGGGGGATGCATATTTGGCGCTATTATGATACAAGCATTAGGTTTTATGGCATAGTATATAGATTCGACTTGGTGCTTCTCCTTGACTCATCTCAGTGCACAAGATCAAAGCATTCCAATCCTATTCATCGATGCACGACTACCCCAGCACCCTCACCCATACTTCTTACCTTGCCCTCGACAACCCGTTCGGGCAATCCCAAGTCCGTACATATCTCATCGAAACAATGCATACCATCCAGAAACCTCAACAAAGGCAACCCACTCTTGTCACGGTCGCTCACCAAGCCCTCAAAGACCGGATGTTCTTCCTTGTGGACACTAAGATGGTGGGAATTCTGTTGCTGATGAGGGTTCAAAGACATGGAAGCGATGCTCGGTCTGTGTATCGAGAAAGACGGGTGATGTGTGTGGATGTTGGGCTGGGAAGTGTGGTGACCATGGGTTTGGATACTTGGTTGAGAAGAGTGATGCATGCGATCATGACCACGGATCGTGGTGGTGTCTGAGTCTCGAGGGTTTGCGAGTGAGGTTGCAGCGCTTGTTTGCAGGCTTGTTGGTGGCGCGGGAGGTAAGGTTGTCGAGGTTGCTATCGCGTACTTGTGTACACGGTAGAGGAAACCTTTGATGATGCCGAAGGTAATGAAGCGGCGTACATCAACACCATGGAGCAAGTCCAGATTCTCCAGTACCCAGTTTTTCAGAGTCAGACCCTGCCGTAGTGATGTATATAACGTTATCAACGTCTCATGACTCGTTTGCCATATGTTCTCTGCCTCCTCTTCCTTCTTTTGCGCCGCAATGTGACTATCAAACTCTGGTATCTTGAGTGTAGACCCCACAGTCGCGCTTTGTTGCGATGACAAAGACGACGTCGAGCTGCGCTCGTCTCGGCTTCTCTCGGAAACCTCACTGTCCATCCGCACCGTCTTGGCGTTAGAACCCAGCCTCATTCTCGGCACGCTGACGTAGCGCATACATTCTTCTTTGACTTCTGCGTCTATGATAAAACCGCCAATCTCCGCTGTTGGCGCATATATGGCGCTAAAGCTGAAGATATCCAAAAGTATCAAGCATCCGTAGTACACTAGATGTTGAATGGCTCGCCTAGTCAAAGAAAGATCGGTATCAGCCAGTTGTGCAATGTGGGATATCGAGTTGATACCGTTGACATATGGGAGGATTCGATTGAGAGTAAGGTCCGAAGACACGGGCTGTTGAAGACTTGAGATAGATATGGTGAGCAAGGGCACTTGATGCGCGAGAATGGGTGGAGGAGGCGGCCGTGTAGGAAACAATTTCAGGTTGATGGTATTCGAGTCATCTAGAGATTGGTTAGCATGCCAGATACTATGTATTAATGAGGGACAGTATATACCAATTGGTATCATGCACTCAGCGTAGTTGTTCAGATCCTCGAGCACCATCTCACACAGCGCATACACCTTGCTTCCCCCGCCGATTCCGAAACCACCAACACCATCATCCGTTCCCCATCCAACATTCCCTTCTTCATCTTCCCAGATGCCCTCTTCTTCTCTAGACAAGAAGCCGCCCTGCTCTTCCAGTCCTCTCAACAGGCGCCCCAACTTCCTCACCACTTCACCATAGCAGGCCCAATCACGCTCATTTTCGCCAATTACGATGGCGAAATTAAATATGAACTCATTTCTGCTATACTTTCCCTCTCTTATGCAAACAGGGTATCCGATGACACGATGGTGGTTGATGCAGAAGGTGAGTAGGCGGTCGCAGAACTGTTGTGTGGGTATGAGGAATTGTGTGACCGAAGAGAAGGGAAATAGCGGTATGGTGAGAGCCGATGGGAGGCTGGACGGCATTATGGCGCCCGCGGGCACCTGGTGAAGGACGCGATTTCCTTTGATAAGATGTTAGAGAGTTTTGTTAGGACGCGGTCATCTTGCAGGAAGTACCTTTTTCATGATGAAAGCGAGTGTAGAATATGGCTTTAATCGCGCGCGTAGGCATTGAAGGTTGTAGGCTATACCGCCAAAGTTTTGCCGGGGACTACATGGTGAGTGCTGCGTCGCAGAGTCGCCGTGTGGGGACTTTGGGGGAGCTTCCGAGGTGTCTTGGTCTGTGCAGCGGGCGATGAACCAGGCTCCACATGGCGCCTTCATCATTGCGGAGATTGAGTAGTCTTCTTTGGACGGCAAGATTCAGCTTGAGCCTCACAACACGACAACGCGGTAATCACGAAAACATTGCGGTCAGGTGAAAATGGGTTATTATTCGTATGTAATGTAAGAATCGTGCACTGGCCGATAGGCTTCATAAAGACAACAAGGATAGCGAGAAGGTATACACAGAAGCGAATATGCAGCATCCGTAATCTACAACATGCGATGAAACTATGCTGGGACCGAATGATGCGCACACTGGAGAGAGCGTTGGGGGTATATGGCGGAAATAGAATAAATGGCCCATCCAAACAACACCCGTGATCCGACAATGTTCCAAAGATCCGAAAGAAGAGACCCGTGTATGAAGAGAAGAAAAGTGCGTTAGGCGTTGATGATGAGGTTACGCTGACTGGTATCTTCAGGATAAGCCCCAAAGACAAAACGATAGAGCTCGCGCAACCACTTGAATGCCTCGCTGCGGCCCAACCATTGCACAGATCGTCCAATCTCAAGCGCCGTCAGCCTGCGGAGCGGCTGAGTGTGAACGTTTCGTAGGGTTGGGTCTGCAAGAACAAGTTTTCGATAGCTGTCAAACAATTGACTCTGCCATGTCTCGGCGCCGAAGCTGTTAGACGGTAAGGCACGAATGAAATCTGGGAGGGGTATTTGGCGGTTGTAGCCAGTATTTATGGCTGCTTTGATGATCAACCCTTTCAGACGAACTAAGTTGGCATCTTCTCGGCCCGCGGTAGCCGTGGAAGAAGTGTGGTGCGAAGCGTCCGAGTATGTGGAGAGGTTGGAAGAAGCGGATGACCAGCGGTCATGAGTTCGTGTCATACCAGCTTCTGGACCAAGAACAAGTATGTTAGGAACATTCGGCTCGTCCGCTGGTGAGAACTCTTCGCGATCGTCAAAAATTGTAGTCGGTGTCTCTGGCTGGATTGGCGTCGCGCGTCGCGAGGAGATGGCAGAATGATACGATTGGTTTACACTGGAAGACCGTCCAGACCGGTCCGAATACGCAGCCTGGGATCGATGTGTCACAGAACTCCGGCCGACCGAAAAGGCATACTGGGTCGGTCGTGGGGTGCCGCGGTCCGGTCGTACTTGTGTCCAGCCTTCACGAAACAAGTCGCACAACTCCCAACATGCCTGTATGGCCGAACCTAGTAGCTCCTCGTCGGCGGGCTTGCCATCTCGGCTGTTTTGGCGGAGGCTGAATAGCATTTCTGCCAAAGACCAGCATGCGTGCAGCAATGAGTCCGTCTCTTCTGGAAGAGAAGTCCGCTGCTTCATCAGGCGATGACATAGCGTCAAGTAGAAATCCAGTGTGCGTTCACGGAATGTTTCCGGTAGTGTGCGATCGTGTGCGTTGTAGAGATGGTTGTTCAGCTCAAAGCTGACTCTGAGCACCGAGTCTGAAGCTTCATCGCCGCGTTGGCGAACATCAAACAGTGCTTGACAAAAGTCTCGGCAAAGCTCCAGCGTGGGCCGGATCTGCGTGGAAGGGTTCTCTTCTCTGCTCTCGTAAAGTTTCTGGCAAAGTCGCCAGCATGTTCTCCAAGCATGCTCTTGCATATCGGGACTCCCACCGGAGTAGTGGAACATGCGTGTTCGGTGATGCTGGCTAAGTTTGGCCAGCGAGTTGCAGAGTATCCAGCATTCATCCAGTGCACTTCTCAAGGCAGCGACTTCCTTTTCTGATTCATGGATACCGTGAATGGCCTGGCCCATTGTTTGTGTGCCAATCGACATGGATTCGCCGTCTTGCGATTGTGATGACTGGCTGTCATCCTGTTCGATGACGGAGCTCGCAGAAGATTCGACGGCAGCATGGTCTTCGTACTCGGCAATATCTATGCACGTTAGCGTGTGATGGGTACAAGGCTCGACGAGACATACCAGCGAGATTGACGCTTTTGCGAACGCTGCGTCGTCTAAGGTCTTCCTCGAAATCTTGTCTTGTCTGCGCACGCGGCGTGCTGCGGTCTGCAACCGAGTTTGACACGGCGGTATCAATTGGGGTTGTGTGAGCAGACGCTGTTTGCTTGTCTTCAACATCGGGAAGCATGTTGGCTTCTGGCGTCGATGGCGATTCAACCGCGGTATGATCCGACGTGTTTGCGCTCGACGACGCGCCGGACGTGCTCATCCGGCTCTGGCTTGCACGTCAGCCATGCAGTGCAACCGCGATAGGAATGAGACTCACAAACTGTTTGAAGCTGTCGGGCGCATGGATGACAGATGGGGGAGCATCGTCCGAGTCTGCCCTTCGCACGGCGGTGTTGAGCTTGTGGGTATGGGGCTGTCACAGGTTAGGTGACTGGGTGAAGGGGTGACGATGGATGTGTTGACATGATATCATACCTTTGTCTGGCCGTCCTGGCTCGCCGGGCTCACAATGTCGTCAGTGCCCGGCGATCTAATCTCGCTCATGCCATCCTCGCTCGGGTGGTTCTCTTGGGCATCCTCTTCGATCTGTAGTGGGGTCAGCCCCGCGTGTTCCCACATGCGGCCACGACATGATTCACCTCAGTATGGTCGGTATGGCTCGTGCCGTTGCTGTCAACGGGCGAGGGATCTACGGAAGCCGGATACGGGCTCGGTGGTGGTTGGAGATGGTCCGACGTGTGACCCGAGGATCTTGGGGAGTCCATGTTAGCCCGCAGTCCCCAATGCTCTCCAGACGAGGGCGTCGCACCTATTTGAGAAGACATGGGCAAAGGTGCCCGGCGAGCTGGGCGAGTCCGTGTAGGGGCTGAATGCCGACATGGACTTTAGGCCACTCGGTGACGGCATG